TGAAACCATGCTCAGAAGTCAACGGCACTGTTATCAGGACACAGCCGCCGGGGTGGGTGGCGGGGTGGGTTGCACAATTTGAGACACTAACGGGACCGAGTGTATGACCCTGATAATATTCACAACACTGCTGATTTTTTTCTGCAGGACCCAAACTTCACCTGTTTAACCTTGTTGTAAACATGAAAACTTTTTTCTGCTGACATAACCTCTGCTAAATTCATATGCCGTGTCTATGAGTCTCCAGTTTCCCAATGTACCTATTAGGGTCCTTGCATAACGGATCAGAGTGTGGATGGTGAGTTTCAGAGATGGGGCAACGAAGCAGGCAGAATCCCCTATTCAGGACATCAGACTGGGAAATAAAGCAAGACGGTATTTGACCAGGATTAGTTCATTCCAGTTGCTTTTTATGTTAGCTATGAGCAAGTGTGGTAAAAACCAGGTTTAACAGGATACTCAGATAGTCTGGGGAACTGAATACTAACCCTGGAACCAGTGTGTGTGTGTGGCATTTGGGAAGATAAAAGGTTTCTATCTCTGAGGATCTGTTTTTCATCATTTTGGCTACTGCTCATTTGTAAATAGATGCCATGGTCACAGGTTTTAAATAGAGGGATTCAGTCCTGACTAGGGAACGTTAGGGGGAGTGGTAGCTTGCAAGGCAGGCAACTTTTGCTGGGGACACAGCCTGCAAACCTAGCCACGTGCAACGGTGGGGACACAAAAACACAGTGGGGCTTCCCTGCTGGGAAGAGGACACTCAGGAGTGTTTGATGAGAGAAACATTTAGAATGTGTTCTGTGAAGCATGCAGCATGTCCTTGGTTTGGGGGTGTGGGTGGCGGGACGGGATCCCCCCACCCTGGTTAGGAGCACGACTGCTCAGCAAGTCCTGGGCTTCCCTCCCAGCCCCCCAATCCCAGAGCCACGTGTCCTGAGCTGACCCGCTCTGCCCTCCCTACCACAGTCCCTCCATCTGTGAAGTGGGGATGGCAGTGCCCACCTGGGAGTGCTGCTGTGAGCAGTACACATGTTGAGCACTTCGCATCTCGTCTGGGACCTAGAAAGTGAATGTATTAAGAGATGTACAGAAAATCTGTAGAAAATACGCTATTTGTTTCTGCCAGCTACTGATGACTTTTATTTTTATTTTTTGTTTTTCACTACAACTTTCAAACTTTCACCCATGAAAATATACTAAGATCAGTTTTGTTAGAGGTAAGTACACATGAAATGGCAATGCCCTGATTGGGTCAGCAGTACTAGAAAATGTGCTGGATTGAGAGGGTTCTTAAAGGTCGTATTTCAACTGCCTCATTTTCACAGATGAGGAAACTGAGGCCCAGAATGGCCACCGTCACAATAAGCTGGGAATAGAACTCAGGTTTCCAGACTAGGCAAGTATGGGCTTGTGAGACAAAAGCTTGTCTCTCTTACTTTTGTGGCTGGCGGTGCTGTCATGGTGGAAACCGAGCAGATGAGGAGAGGAGGCAGGGGCTACAGGGAATGGGAAGAATTGCAGTGACTTTCAAGGATTCCAGTTTGGGAACTGGGAAGAGTGGAGACCAAGATGGGGATGTTAGTGAGAAGGAGTTCTGATGTGAGAATGGGTGTGAGTTTGGTTCTGAGCGTTGTCAGCTGTGACACATCCCAGTGGGTTTCACACAGGGCAGCCTCAGGTCTAGACGTGGAGCTGCATGTCAGGGCTGCCCAGGAATAAAGACACGAGACAGGTTTCCATGGAATTAGAACATAAAGCTGTGCTCAAACTTCTCAAAGTTGAGAACAGACTGGAGTGGAAAATAACAAAGGGTTAAGGCTGAGCTGGAGTCAGTTGAAATTAAAAAGGAAAGAAGGAAATGATATCAAAGAAAAAGAACATTTGGGTAAAAGAGCCAAAGGCTTGGTCTCTTCAGGTGGGTGCAACCACCAAGTCTGAAATTTAGGAGGGAGATCAGGAAAAGTAAAGTTGGAAAAAGGAACTGACAGTACCCTGGATTCAACTAGAAGGAAGCCACCAGTGATTTTAAGTGATTTCTGGGAAGAAGACATGAAGCAGCCTGAATCCCTTATTCAAGAAATTAGGCTGAGAAATAAAGTAAGAAGGTATTTGATGATAGTTGGGAGAGATGGCAGAGCAAAGTAATGGCTTATTCAAGATAAAGGACTCTACGAATATTTGAAAGCAGAAGGGAAGAGATGAAGGAGGAGAGATTAAAGCTTTTTGGGAGGTAGAAGATAAATCCCAAGTAAGAGTTCTCAGGGGGTTAAAAAAAAAAAGGAAAAAGGAAAAAGCAAGAGATCAAGGCAACATTGGAATCACTAGCATGAAATCCTCAAGACATCGCTCTCTCTTGATACCCTGAAAGATTTGAGTTTTAAGTATTTTGGGGTCTGAGGAAGTCTTAACATATTTACAAGGACTTGAAAATTCCACCTCTCATTTTGTAAAAGAAACCATTAATGGCGAACTGGGGACTGGGACTGCTTCTCCCCATGCAGTGTGGACACCTCACCTCTGCATTTAGAGCCGCTGTCACTAAATCACTCATGCCTTTACTTATTAGTGGCTTCCTCCCTCAGCAGCAGGAAGGGAGGGCTCACATGGGTTGGTTTAACCCCGTCCCCCAGCAACGTGTATAGTCCCCACACATAATGGAAGCCCAATAAATATTGGTTACATGGGTAAATAAAGGAATGAATAAGCACAAAAAGGACACCGGATTCGGGAAGGTAACTTGAGATTTGTATTCTTCTCTAAAAGTGAATCAGGCAGTTTAGCAAGTGTATTACTTCTTTAAACACCATTCGGTAAATGATCCTGGGTTTTTCCTGAATGCATTTCCAGAATCTTAAATTAAAAAAAAAAAGTCACACACCCTCCAAAGCTATCATCTAAGCCTACAGAAGATCCATCCATCAGTGTCGATTAGAAGCCAATTTATGTAGAGAGTTGGGTGACATGTTGCACATTTATCATTTCCGTACTGACTCACGGTACAGTTAGCTGTGACTTTCCTATCTGTGAAATGGGGTTACTGGTAAGAGGTGTTTTGAGGATACTTAAGATTGTAAAGGACCCGCAACAGTCTGATACCTTTGTGGTTAACTACAAGAATTACTCCATACTTTACTTTCTAAGTTTGTAAAATATTTTGATTGTAGTGCAATTACGTTACTAAGTAGGCTTACGTTTTTGTAGCTTTTCCATCTAAAAACCTTTCTATTCACCAGAAGCTGATAAGCTCCAAGATCCAGGTGGTGTATCATCTAGAATGTGCTCCATAAATATCTGCTGATTGATTAAATAATGCTTTAAGATTAAAACTGACCTCACTCAGGAATATACAACGGAGAAAAGACAGTCTCTTCAGCAAGTGGTGTTGGGAAAACTGGACAGCAGAGTGTAAATCAATGAAGTTGAACACTCCCTTCTACCATATACAGAAATAAACTCAAATGGCTTAAAGACTTAAACATAAGACAAGACATGATAAACCTCCTAGAATAAACATAGGCTAAACAGTCTCTGACATAAATCTTAGCAACATTCTCCTAGGGCATTCTACCTAGGAAACAGAAACAAAGCAAAAATAAACAAATGGGATCTAATTAAACTCTTAAGCTTTTGAACAGCAAAGGAAACCATAAGTAAAACAAAACGACAGCCTACAGAATGGGAGAAAATATTTGCAAATGATGTGATTGACAAAGGCTTAATTTCCAGAATATATAAACAGCTCATACAACTTAACAACATAAAAACAAACAGCACAATCTAAAAATGGGCAGAAGACCTAAACAAGCAGTTCTCTAATGAAGACATACAAATGGCCAATAAGCACATGAAAAAATGCTCAATATTGCTAATTATCAGAGAAATGTAAATCAAAACTCCAATGAGGTTATCACCTCACACCAATCAGAATGGCCAACATTCACAAGTCCACAATCAGTACTGGAGAGGGTGTGAAGAAAAGGGAGCCCTCCTACATTGCTGCTGGGAATGTAGTTTGGTGAAGCTGTCATGGAAACAGTATGCAGAATCCTTAAAAAACTAAAAATAGACTTACCATATGATCCAGCAACACCACTCCTGGGCATATATCCAGAGGGAACTCTAATTTAAAAAGATACACGTCCCCTAATGTTCCTAGGAGCACTATATACAACAGCTCAGACATGGAAGCAACCTAAATGTCCACTGACAGATGACTGGATAAAGAAGCTGTGATATATTTATATAATGGAATACTCCTCAGCCATAAAAAGGAATAAAACAATGCCATTTGCAGCAACATGGGTGGATCTGGAGATCGTCATTCTAAGTGAAGTAAGCCAGAAAGAGAAAGAAAAATACCATACGGTATCACTCATATGTGGAATCTAAAAAAAAAAAAAAAAAAAAAAGGCAAGAAAAGAAAGAAAAAAGAGGACATAAGGAAGTCATCTACAAAACAAATAGACTCACAGACATAGTGAACAATCTCATGGTTACTGGGGGAAAGGAGGTAGGAAGGGGTGCATTTGGGAGTTTGAGATTTGCAAATATTAGCCACTATATATAAAAATACATTAAAAATGAATTTCTTCTGTATAGCACAGAGAGCTACATTCAATATCTTGTGATAACATTTAATGAAAAAGAACATGAAGACAAATGGGGAAAAAAATGACCAGGACATTATGTTGTACACCAGAAACTGACACATTGTAACTGACCATACTTCAATAAAAAATTAAAAAGTGGCTTCACTGCTATTATTTCATTTCACCCTCATATCAACTTTGTGAGATGGGTATTATCCCCCTCTCCTGTGACTTTACAGGTGGCAAACCTGAGACTCAGGAAAGTTAAGCTACTTGCCCAGCATCACCCAGCACTACAAGGCCAACCCAAGCTTTCTGACGCCCTAATGTGGTCATTTCTCTTATCTACCACTGATTCTAGCTCTGCTTTCTTTCTTTTTTCTTTTCTTCTTTTTTTTTTTCCATCAGGAAATGATGAGAAGCAGCCCTGGACAGAATGGTTCCCTGTTGTGCTTATGGCAGTCATCTGCTTCCTCTTGTTAACGTTCTCCCTCATCTGCAGAATGTAGGTATTCTTTCCATTTGGGTGATTCCTTTGGGGTCTGAATATTGAATGTTTGCATTCTTGCCATGCAACCGCTAGACGGAGGGTTCTTGTCATCTGGTAGAATTTATAGCATTTCGTGTCTTCCTGCAAAGCCTTTCCAAGATGAGTGTGGATCGAGTCAAAAACTGGGCAACAGTCGGTGATTTACAGAAACTGGACAGAGCCCAGCATAGCCTTCTGCCATTAGCTGCATGCTTCTTGAATTTGCCAGCAGTCTATTAATTTCTGTGGTTTTTGTATTCGTTGGTTATTTTTGATGCCTTGACTGCCTTGGTCACCTTTCTTGTGTCACCAGGGCATCCTTTTTATTTCCCAGATAAAGGCAGGCAGCCCCCTGGACACTGAACTCACTACAGCACCTCCCATGTTCTGATCCCCAATTATGAGGTCCCAAGTCCCACCGTGGCCCTTCAGTCACCCTGAGTGGCTGAGTGTTCCCAGGTCAAAAGCAGATTCTAGACGTGTCAGGCAGATTTGGAGACCAATCCTAGAGCCTGCAAGTGGCCCCATAAGAACTTCGCATCCATTTTGGCATCTGGTGAGGCCAAGAGCCACTTAGGGGGCTTCAGAACATGGTCTGTCTTCTCTCTTTCATAACTTAGAAAATGACTTTAATTTTAAACAGCTTCACTATTATAAATGTTGTATCAGATGGCATCTGTAGGCTGGGGGGGGTGGCAGTTCAAAGGAGAGGAAACAGGAAGTGAACCCTGAGAACCCGCACGTTGGGGGAGGGGCTGCACACCAGCCCAGAGGTCACAGT